TATTTTGGGTCTTTTTTTTTTTTTTTTTTACTCTGATAATTGCTTTTTTCCTCAAACTTGTGCAAAGAAATCACTATGCGAAGAACTCAAATCATTTCCAATGTTCAGAATATCTTGATTGACTAGCAAGTGTTATTCTGTTGCAATATTCGATTGTATAGAGACACACTGTATTGTCTATGAAAAAGCAAAGAGAAAAAAAAGGCTGTGTATAGGTTTTTGGTACTATGTACCACCTCTTATTTCTCTCATACCCAAGCATTCATGTACTTAAAACATACTATATTTAATTGTGTTTTGATTTAAAATATATAAATATTAAAATTTGTGTCAAGTTTCTGTTTTCCTGGGATTTGGAAGTTAGGTGGGGTTTTTTTAGTGTGAGTTTTAGGGGTTTATAAAAGAAACTTTGTCCTTGGCAGTTTTGGCCACGTTTCCTTAATGGATTTTGTTAATGGTAGTGTGGTGAAATACTAAATAATACTAGTAATAATAATCCAATCTACAGGACTAAATCACAGGACATGTCAGAATTGGCTGGGAAAGGGGTAGAAGGGCAGGGCTTGGTGCTGTAGTGCAGTATTGAACTGTGCATGCTTGAATCCTCTTCTGTGCAGGAATTTAACCCCTCACCTGTTCTTGGTGCGAGGCTGACTCAGTTTTCCAGCTGGGCAGGATCCAGACTAGCCCGTGAGGGTGTTCAGGGATTGGAGGCCTCAGGTTTGGGTGTGAATGTTGCACAGGGCTGAGTTCCTTAAGCTGTTGTGCTGTCTGAGGTGGATGTGGTCACGCGGAGTGTGAGACTCGGCTGACCTTGAGTCGTTCTGGGTCTAGTTTTGGTACCGAACACCGGAGGTGTGTTTTGGAGGGGCACCAAACCCCCTCGTGTGGGCAGCGCGGGCGGTGCCCCGGGGGAGTCTCGAACCCGCGGCCCAGGGTCGGCGCTGCCCGCCGGCCGCCAGGGCGGCCAGCACGCCGCGCTCGGCGCTCCCGCCGTGGCCACGCCCTTCCGGCCCACGTGTGGGCCGCTGCGCACATGCGCCGCGTGTGAGCGGAGCGGGGAGTGGGCGTCGACTGTGGAATTCCACGGTGGGGATGCTGGGGGGTGGGATGCTGGGCGCTCTGGGGTTCCCCCGTGGGCCTCCGGCTGACCCCATCCCGCGCGTCCCAGGGTCCTGCTCAGTTGCGGGGGGTTTCTCCCCCCCCGGTTGTCCACCCGGGTCCCCCACGTAGCGGCTCCTTCTCCCCCACGCGGGTATCGCTGCCCGGGTGGGGGCGCTGTCCCCGCTTGCCTGGTGGGTTCCCGGCCTGAGCGCGCTGTCCCGCAGACATTGTCGCCGTTTACGAGGACTGTGGCCAGCAGCTCCTGATTCCAGTTTCGGATGACGGGCAGGAGAGTCCCTGGGCTCGCCCTTCGACGTCCCGGTCACCATCACCCCGGACAAGCTGCAGCTGGTCTGCAACGCCCTCCTGGAGAAGGTGAGACCCCTCCCGAATTGCCCCGGCACTCCCGAGCCCTACCCGGGGCTGCCCCTCGCTTCCTCACCTACCCTTTCTCCCGCAGGATGAGCCGGTGCCTCTGGCCTTCTTCGTCCACGATGCCGAGATTGTGGCGTCGCTGGAGAAGACCCTGGCGGGGCAGAGCGTGGAGACGGAGAAGGTGCTGGACATCATCTACCAGCCGCAGGCGGTGTTCCGGGTGCGGGCGGTGACGCGCTGCACCAGCTCCCTCGAGGGGCACACCGAGGCCGTCATCTCCGTGGCCTTCAGCCCCACCGGAAAGTACGAGGGTCTGCCTGCAGGCAGGGGGCTCGGGGCTCGGCAGCAGCTGCTCTTGTCCTCTCCTGGGGACACTGTGCTGAGCCGGGGTCTTCATCCTCTCCCAGGTACCTGGCAAGTGGCTCTGGAGACACCACCGTCCGCTTCTGGGATCTCAGCACGGAGACACCGCAGTTCACGGCCAAAGGTGGGTGTGGGGTGTCCCTCAGGGACCCCCTGCCTGCTTGAGGGACAAGCAGAGCAGAGCCTGGTGCTGCCTGAGCTGTGTAGGCAGAACCATGGCTTGGGGAGAGAGGAGCTCTCTTTGATGAAGTGGAAGAAGAGGGGCTGGCCAGGAGGAGCACAGGGGGTTCCCCCTGTCTTGTACTTCCTTGGAGTGGCTTTCTGTTGGGACACTGAGGATAATCACAGCTCTCCACTCATGCCCACTCGTGCTCTCTCTGCCAGGTCACCGGCACTGGGTGCTCAGCATCTCCTGGTCACCGGATGGCAAGAAACTGGCCTCGGGCTGCAAGAACGGCCAGGTACGTGTTGGCTCCCTCTGTGTGGGGCTGGGGGTCTGTGGGAGCTTGGAGACCCTCTGCAGCCCCATTCTGAACTCAAACCAAACTTGGTGAAGGGCTGTGGGGGATTAGAGGCGAAGGCTTGTGTTTCCTGGGCTGTGAGGGATGTATCCAGTTGTTTGGAGCAGGATTGCTGTGCCCCAGAGGAGCTCTGTGTGTGGATGCATTGTGGTATTGCAGGTAGTGTCTCCAGACTCTGTGCCAGGCAGAGCTCTGGCTTTGTGACCTTGTGGACCTCTTGTTGCTGAGTTCTGCTGTCTTGTGGCAGATGTTTTTCCCTCCGTGCCAGAAAGAGTCCAGGCTCTAGATGTGGTCCTTGGCAGGCGGCTCCATCACAAGGGAGGTGTCTGGATTGAGAATGGTTATTGCCCAGCCAAACCAGGGCTGCTGTTAGTGTGACCCAGACATGCAGCAGCAGCCTGTTTTGCAGCGTTCTCACGCAGATACAGCCAAATTCCCTCTTGTAGGAATGTGAAGGGGGCTGTACCCTGGCTGTGGGGAAGAATGTGTGTGCTTAAGGTGCAGAAATGCCTCGGGAAGTGGGAGCACTCAGCTAAATGTGAGTCAGGAACTTATTGAGCTGTAGAGGGGCAGTGGCTCACTCTCACCTTCGAACAATCTGGGAGCAGCGAGAGCAGCCATGGAACTGCCAAGGTTGTGATTCCATCCCCAAGACTGGGCCAGGGTGGTTCTGCCGTGGTTTGGTGCTGGTCTGGCTTTAATCGAACCCAGGGAGCTGCTTGTCCTCTCTTTCCCTATTTTTCCCAGGTTCTCAAGTAGGAGATGACTAATACCTTGGCTCTTTAGATGAACATTTATGTAGAGAGAGAATCAACAAGAGAAAACCAGCATGTGTCCCACCCACAGAATCTGATAATAAGCAGCACTTAGCGCGCTGCGGCTTTCGTCGGGCTCTGCAAACACTCACTGAGTCTCTGGCACAGGGTGGCTTTTTGGGGACCTGTATCCGTTTTGAGTTGAGTCAGATAATTTAGTCAGATAATCTGTAGCAGCAGCGCTGTAGGCAGAGAGGAGGGCAGTCAGCTCTCATTCTTTTGGGTGTCAGCTAACGGCTGCAGGGATCTGGAAAGGCACCCAGCCCCCTTCCCTTGCTCCTCCCTGCCCCTGCCAGTTTCAGCGGACACCAAGGGACACCTTTGCTTCCTAAATGGAGCTCCAGCGTCCCCGGGATTCACATGATGTCTGTGGCCTGACGCGACCCTCTCGCTTCCTCTCTTGGACAGATATTTCTCTGGGACCCAGCCACGGGCAGCCAGATCGGCCGGGTGCTGTCTGGCCATTCCAAATGGATCACATGTCTGTGCTGGGAACCGCTCCACATGTAAGTGAAGGGCCAGCCCAGCCCTTCCCCTTGACTCCTATGGAAAAGAGCAGCCTGACCTGAAGGGCATTGCTCCTGTTTGCCTTTCTCCTGTTATGGGAAAAAGCATGTGCAGGAGAACGGCTCCCAAGGTGGGCTGGGAAAAATGTATCCAGCTGGGAGAGCCAGGAGCCCCAGCCATGAAGTCACTGCCAGGCTGTGCCTCTTTCCCCCTGTGTAAAAGACATACCTGCCTCTGGAAAGCACTGCTTTTGTGGTGCTGGACAAATATTTGGTGTGCTCCTCCATGGCATGCTGAGCTGGGAGCAGGGAAGCCTGGAGGTCCCCAGGTGCAGGCTCTGCAGAGCATTCCCTCCTGCTCTCCTGATCCTGCTGGCCTCTGTCATCCTGTTTGTTTATCATGAGAGATGATTAACTGTGCAATCCCCTTATCCCTTTGATCAGCTAAAGCTCCCTCTGGAAGAGGTGGGTGGAGGGGGCAGTTATAGCCAATAATCCAAGACGTTATAGAAATAAATAAAAAAAGAAAGAAAAAGGGTCCCTTCAGTGCAGGGCCCTGCAAATTGAATTTGCCAGTAGAAAGCTCCAGCTATTTGCAAACAATTAACTGGATTAGCAAAAAATGATTGTAAAGGAGCAGGAGGAAATGGAGAGGAGAGACATGACCCTGGCAGGGCTGCACTTCTCTCTTCTCCAGCCAGTCCCAGTGCAACGGGAGGGGCTGTTCTTCCTCACTGCTCCTCATGGCACCAGGCTGAGTGATGAAGGTGTTGTGCAAAGGACAGAGGGTTGTGGCTCCCCTGTCCTTGATGGGTTGTGCCAGCTGCTTCCAGATGTGTTAAATTTGTCCCCCTAAGCCACGTGGATGGACGTTGCTCCTTTCGGTCCTGCCAGCACAGGAGCACTCTGTCCACAGGCTGGAGATAAGCATGGCATAGGCAGGGGAGCATCCAGTGCATTCCCAGTGCCACTGGTCTGCACTGCCTTGGTGAGGCTGGTCCCCTGCCCAGGGCTCTCCCCAGCCAGTGCCTGGGGAAGGTGCCAGTTTTGGGGTGCCCTCTTAAGCCAGCTGGTTAAAGCTGTGCCCTGTGCAAACAAGGTCATTGCCAAGGGCTCAGGTGCCAGGTTTACCCTGGATTGATGCCTCCAGTGTGCAGCCCAGGAGCTGGTTTGGAGGAAGCATTTGTCTGCCTCTCCCCTGCTTTGTGGGACTTTGGTCTCTGTAAGTCAGTGCTCTGCCCCTGCCTGGCCTCTTGCAGATCTTAAGCCAAAAGACAGTTGTATTTTATTGACTTCTGGACCCTTGAATCCGCTGGGGGTGGTGGGGAAAGAGCTTGGTGGAGGAGCTGTGTGCACTGCACAAATGGATTTGATCTTCTTTTTCCCCAGAAACCCAGAGTGTCGTTACCTGGCGAGTGCGTCCAAGGACGGCAGCGTCCGCATCTGGGACACACTGATGGGCAGGTGTGACAAAATCCTCACGAGCCACACGCAGTCGGTGACGTGTGTGAAGTGGGGGGGCGATGGCTTGATCTACTCCTCCTCCCAGGACAGGACCATCAAAGTCTGGAGGAGCCAGGATGTAAGTGAGGCAGCAGCCCCGGGGCTGCTGGCAGAGGGGGCTGGACACAATGTGTGGTAGCTTTGTCTGCTCTTCCTGGCACAGCTTGTGCCCTGGAAAACAGAGCTGCAGAGCAGGTGCTGTATCTTCTTGACCTATCAAAACCTGTTGCTTGACACAATTTGGAAGGGGTGGCTGTTGTGCAATGTTTTCATCTCTAAGAGCATTAAGTGGGGCTAAAAGCTGGAAACATCCCGGAGGCAACCTGTGCTGGTGGGTGTCCTCAAGCTCCTGTGGGAAACTGATTCCTGAAGCTCAACTGTGTCATCTCTTCCCTGCCGCAGTCCTGGCTGCTGCTTGGGCGAGAGGGTTGGGAAAGTTTGACATGTGTCCTTGCAGCCCGGTGGGTCTGGTGGGTGCTGGCAGCCTGGCTGGCTGCCTCCCTCCCTGAGGGGTGGTTGTGTCCCCAGGGGGTGCTGTGCCGCAGCCTGCAGGGCCACGCTCACTGGGTGAACACCATGGCCCTGAGCACCGACTACGTCCTCCGCACCGGGGCCTTCGAGCCCGCCGAGGCCACGATCAACCCACAGGACGTCAGCGGCTCCCGTGAGTGCAGCACCCTCTTGCAGGCCCGGGGAGGATAAAGGGGAGGCCTGATACCATGTTGCCATAAGCCAAAGCAACCTTGGGAGCTGGGAGCAGGTCCTGTGCTCCTGTCGGTCATGCTGACAGCTGTGATCTTCCTCGCCCTTGCCAGGGCTGAGCAGTCTGGGGGATGGGAAGGTCGCTCTGTTTCCAAGGGCTTTTGCTCCCAAATTGCCCTTGGCAAAGAGGAGGTGGGTGAGAAGTCACAAATGCGTCTGCTTGGCCCACGGAGCCAGGATTGGAATTGGCATCTCAGGGTTATAAAGTTTCCTTTCTCCGGATTGCATATCTCTCTTCCCCTCTCCTTTTCCCTTTCTCAGTGGCAGAACTGAAGGACAAGGCTCAGCAAAGGTACAACCAAGTCCGGGTGAGTCCCCTTTGTCCCTGCTGTCGTTTCTAACACTGCCACTGGTGGAAGCAGTAAACGTGCACAGTGGGCTCTGGGCCCCAACACTGGTGTGCTTCCGAGCTCTCCACACCTGGCCCATACAAGACTTGGGCTCTTTCCTCCCTTTCTCAGGGCCAGGAACCAGAAAGGCTCGTCTCGGGGTCAGATGATTTCACCCTGTTTCTCTGGAGACCAGCAGAAGACAAGAAGCCGCTGGAGAGAATGACAGGCCACCAGGCATTGATCAACCAAGTCCTCTTCTCGCCAGACACCCGGATAATAGCCAGTGCTTCCTTTGACAAGTCCATAAAGCTCTGGGATGGTAGGACAGGAAAGTGAGTTGTTTTGTTCTGTTGCAGAGGTGGTGCTAGTATAGGGTCTGCAGGGGTGGGCTCCAGTGTCATTGCCAGCAGCCCCCTGGTGTGTTCAGCATCTCAGCAGCCTGAACTCATGCAAAGTCATTCTGCTGCCTCTGTCTTTTTCTGCCCTTTGGAAGTCCCTTGTCTGGTTCTTCTTGTGTCAGAGGGTCTTCTTGTGCTTGGCTGTGTGTGTGCAGCGCCACTGCCACCCAGCCACAGCACTGCCTGGCACCTGTGGCACACACAGTCTGCTGCAGGGTGAGTTCTCTGAGCTGCAGTGGGATGGGATGTTCCACTCGGCTGATCTCCTGAAGATGTGTGTGTTGGGCACTGTAGACTGACCCAGTTTAAACAGTTCCCGTGCCAGAGAACAGCTTGTTCTGGATGATGCAAATTCTTGTAGTTACAAGTGGTGCTGTTGGTGTTTGGATGCTCCTGGAATCCAGCTTTTAGCCTTCAGCTGGAGTACTGGTGAGCTCTCGGGGCAGCAGTCCTTCCCTGCAAAGCAACCTTTATGCTCGTGAGCTTGGCATTCCTGTCAGTAATTTTAAAGGTCCCTCTAAATCCAGGCTGCTCGGCCAGAAAAAGGAAGAACACATCTGTGCAGTAAGGCTGTAGCGTTGCCTGCTGGGTAAGAGTTTCTTGGCAGATGAGGTGAGATGAAGAGTCATCCTCCAGAAGGTTCTGAGCCCACCTGAGAGGGTTTTTAGATGGACTGAGCAACCTGTGGACTCTGTCTTGCAGTTGACTGGCTCGGGTGTGCTGAGCATCTTGTGACTGGGCTGGTTTGCTCACGGCTGGAGAAGAAACAGGAAGACCAGGGCAGGTTTGGAACAAGCTGTGCTGCTCTAACAGCTTGTGCTCTGCCCCAGGTACCTGACGTCGCTGCGGGGGCACGTCTCGGCCGTGTACCAGATCGCCTGGTCGGCCGACAGCCGCTTGCTGGTGAGCGGCAGCAGCGACAGCACCCTCAAGGTCTGGGATGCCAAGACAAAGAAACTGGCCATCGATCTTCCTGGCCATGCAGATGAGGTGAGCTGTTTGGTTGAGGTGAGGTGTTGGTGTTTGAGAGAGGCAGGAGTGACTCCTCCTCCCAGCAGAACTGTCTTTTCCGTAACATCAGGTGTATGCAACGGATTGGAGCCCGGACGGACAGAGGGTGGCGAGTGGAGGGAAGGATAAGTGTTTGAGGATGTAAGTAACCTGTTGTCTGTCCATAGAGGATGTTGCAGCTACTCCGTGTGTCCCTCAGAGCCACAGGCTCCTTGCAGAGACCTACATGGTTAGGGCATGATCTGTCCTTGCAGAGAGCACAGCGCTGGGTCACACTCTGGCTTGGAGACCTGACCTCCCTCAGGGCAGGAGCTGCTGCTGTCCCCTGGCAGCTGACTAGAAAGCAGAGTCCCTGCAGCTGAGCAGTCTGGGTGAAATTTGACTCAGATGTTTTGGCTCCTGGAGAGGGGAAAGAACATTTGTACCAGTTGGTCAGACCTTCATTTCTCACCTTGCTCCCCTCTCCCAGTTATGCAGACGGACAAATTCCTGTGAGCTGGCTGCCATTTGACCATGGCTGGTGAACCCAGTCCCTGGGCCCTGCTGTGCTGCTCCTGTATGGTGCCTGTGGGCAGCACTGGTGCCCAACCACAGGGACAAAGCAGCTTTTTCCATTTGCAGATGGCGTCGATAGGAAGAGAGACACGAAGCTGCTGGTCCTGTCCTCGGCACAACGTGCCTGGAAGATCTCCAAGGGGAAGGATGACGGAGGCCGACCCGAGCACGACTCCCTGTTCCTGTTGGCGACTCTCCCTCTTGGACTCTTTCCTTATATTTATTTAAGGAAATTTTAATTCTAGTTCTTATTAAGAGCTGTGCTTTGCAGGATGATTTCCTCTGAACATTACAGGAGGGATATCTCATCTGCCTGCATCTCAACTGGCTTTTTATTGGAATTTCAGCCTCACAGTAGCCCTCTGCCTTGAAAGGGGCAAGTGAAGGGCAGGGATGGCTCTTGCCCTTTCTTGGCTGTGTGAAGAATCCTATGGAGAAGAGGGATTTAGTGGGAACTGAAAGAGTTGTCCCTGTGTGACCTTCAGAGAGAGAGAAGTGGGAAAATTCAGGACATCAATTACATTGCAGAATTGTGCTCGGCTGCGTGTCTGGGACAAAGATCTGCTGCAAATAAGGTCTTGGGGCTTCTCCTTATTCCAGTAAGGTTTTGCCTTTCCAATCAGCCCACTTCCCTGTGGGCTGTGCTGAGCATTATCTGTGGATTCTCTGCGTCCACAAAGGATAACTCCTTCACTCGTCTGTTCAGGGTCCAACGTGCATGGACTTCAAATGACTGCTGGAGCTGTGCAGAGTTTTCAGGTCCCAACAGCTCTTGGAAATGGGGAAATGAGACACTTGTGCCTCTGAGCAGGGGAGGAAGCATCCATTTCCCATCCACCGCTGGCTCAGGGGGGAAGGAAGGATAGGGTGGGGAAGGGGAAGAATGGAGCTGGCATTTGGGGTGGTGTTTGTCCCTTGCCCTGGATATGTGCTGACAGCAGGACTGGGACTGTCACAGTAAATGGCAAAACTTCCATTGCACAGAGTTGGCTCCTTCTGGAATTTCTTAAGTGCATTTACTTGCCCAGTGGGTGAGAGGGATTCACACTGTCAGTTGTGTATTTCTAAACTTGCTTATGAGCCTTTTTATAAGTCAGTTCAGGCTTCCAGCCATCATGAGACGAATAGACCTGGATTTATGTTTTATTTCCAGGATGCTTATGAAACAGTGAAAATCAAGATGTGATTACTAAGGAGCAGACAATTATATTGTCAAATTTAGTTGCAGCAGGTTAACATGAAGGTCAAAACATTCTCCATATCCCTCATCCTGCAGTTGCTACTCAGTGATTACAACAACTCAGAGTGGGAGTTTGTGTCTCAGATGCTTCCCAGCTGCAGAAGATGCATTTTAGGACTTTTTTCCTGCTGGCAGGATTGCTTTGGAGAATTAAGAGGGGATGGTGCAGTAATGGCCATTTGCTTGTTTGCAAGTGTTCAGGAGAGAAAAAGACTGGAACAAAGGGTTAAATCTTTGATATGGCTGAGAAGACAATTTGTGGTTCCTGTTGTTAGTTTCTCTTTTTGCCAGCCAAGTCAGCAGGCTCTGTCTTTGTGGGATCTTTTGGAAGACCTCAGTATCCCCTAGCTGCTCTTTCATTAATGTGCTTCTTCCAGCTGGTTCTTGCTGACAGTGAAGGCCATGTTGCATCCAATCTGCATAAACAAAACCTTTCCTAACGCACTGAGGTAAATGTTGTGGGACAGGGTGATTTAAAACTGTAGCTGATAATTCTGCCTCCCCAGACTGCTATGCCCTTGGGAAGGAGAGGAGCAGGTCTCTGGTGGTGGCCAGGAAGTGTGCCTGTTTTGAAAGTTTTTTGGGATGCTTGTGCTAAAGAAAACAGTCCACCCTTGGGAATTCAGCTCTGTGTCCCCAGGTCTGACTTGCTGAAAGCAGCAGCTCCTGGTGTGGCTCTTTGCAGGGGAACAAGCATCGTTCTCTGCTTCCTTCCCTGAAGTGCTGCACGGGGTCACTGTGCCCTGTCAGTGCTGGCTGTGTTTTGTGTTGGAAGCAGGGATGTATTGGAGCTGAGGGAGGCAGTCCTGCCTGTGGGAGCTGGCTTGGCTGTGCATGTGTGTAGGTGTACCTAAAATAAATCAGTGTACCTTGTCCCCTGATTTCCAAACCAAAGCAATTGCTGTGCCCTCTGGCCGTGCTCCTGCCATCCCTTCAGACTCTGCTTCTGTGACATTTGGCACCAAGCAGAGCCTGGTTAAAACCCACCTTCCTAATGCTGGAGCAGAAGGGTTTTCCAAAGGGAAGTGAGACCTCTTGAACACAAAAGAGAGGGCCTTGCAACTAAGTTTACACCAAAATAAGCTCTCTTGCCCTTAATCTTTCTCTGATCTGATAGCAGGTAGATTTTTGAACCACGCTCAGTGATGGGTTTGCATGTAAACCAAATTGTATTTTCTTATCCAAGCATCTGCTACTATTTTTATCATTCATACAGCACCAGCCTTCATACATGCTAAGTGCTGGCCCCGCTCCAGCTGTATTCCTGAGCAATTCCCTAACACTCCTCCCAGTTTCATTTGAATGCGGCACTTCCCGGGCCTGGCTCTGCAGTCTCCCGCCTGGAGAGCTGCTGCCCTTCCCTTCGGAGCTGGCTCCTTCTTGGCAGGAGGTGCTGGAGAGCTGCTGCCCTTCCCTTCGGAGCTGGCTCCTTCTTGGCAGGAGGTGCTGGGGAGCTGCTGCCCTTCCCTTCGGAGCTGGCTCCTTCTTGGCAGGAGGTGCAGCGGGCGCGTGACCTCCCTCGCTCCGCTGGCGCTGGGGGTGGGAGCTTTAATTAGCCGATTTTGGGAATTGCAGATGCAAATTAGGGCTGATGGTTGTTATTAACGGGGAAGACTTTTTGTTAAAAGGACAAATCTAGAAGGTAAGGCTGGAGCTTTCTGATTGCTCTTATGGGAATGGCAGCACTAGCCTCTGCTGAAACAGCTGAGCTTTTCCAGTGTTGTGTGAAAAGAATCTCAGGATCTGTTCCTGTGTTTCAGTCCAAGTTCCTCCTGGGTTACTTGTTAAACATCCCACACAGGTTTTCCTACCACAAGGGCGTTATTTTTCACTGGTAATACAAGAATAATTTTAAGCATATCCAGAAACTGTCCCACAGAGCCCTCTGACACTTTCTTCTTTAAAAGCTGTGATGCCACCATTAATTTTGTTACAAGTCCCCAATGGGAGGACAGTGATGATAAGGACTGAGAAGTGTGCCAGTCCTCTGAGAAAGGTTTACCTGTCTAATAAATTCCTGAGTATGATGTAGGGAAGGAAGGGATATGATAAGAACACCTAGAGTGAAGTAGATCATTTGGGATAGTGTATGGTGCCAAACTCCTGCCCTTTGGAGACTGATTTAGATAAGTGAGGCCTTAGAATCCTTATGAAAACTGTTCTTGGGGCTGTGTGTCCTGCTTCTCCATGCAGGAGGGCTGGCAAGTGGTGTGCATGTTGTGCTTCCTGGGTTCTGGGTCCTTGGAGCCACACGTTTTCTGCTTGACTCAGATGATCTCTTGAACATTTTCCCGGATCTGTAATTTAATTTCCATGTGCATGTTTATAGCCTGGGGAGAGAGACAAGAAAAATCTTTCAATGAATGGGAAGAAAATGATCTTCATTCATTTGTCTGCACGAAAAGGAGCTTCTCTCAGCTTTTTTTGGGTCAGCCCAGGCACTGTTCAGATGATGTTTCTACCTCAAGGCTGCATTTTGGCGGTATGGCAGAAAATGGCTTGCTGTGAAGACCATTAGTGCTTTTGAGGATGAAAGGTGTTATGGAAACTCAGGGCAGTGACATCTGTGTTTTGGGGAGCTGCTACCAGATGAAAATGTACTTCTCTGCGCTCGGATAAGCAACCTGGAAGGTGCTAATTTCTTCCTCGATGCTAATTTCTAGCTCTTGTGATCAAGAGCCCTGTCTCACACCTGAGGGACCAATTGGCTGAACTGATGTAGTGCAGCTGGGAAGGAGCCACAAAGCCATGTCTAGTGCTGCTCTTCTGTTTCCTCCACTCTGACTCTGTAAATCAGTGGTCCTCACCAAGCTATGGGTTGCCAGTGGTCTCTGTCAGGGGACTGTGGCTGTTGCAGAGTGTGCTATTAAAAATGAACAAACTCAGGGCACAGTATCTGTGCTTTTGAAGGTTGATTACCCGTGGTACTGGTGCCCAGTATGCTGGGTGTTTTATTGTCCTGCCACGTGGCTGTCAGAGCGGTGCATCCCCCCCGGGGGCTGCAGGGCTGCTGCCAGCACTTAATGCCAAATATCCATGTGGATTCCTTGAGGGAGGGAGGGAGGGAGGGAGGAGCAGCAGGAGCCCCATGGGGTTATCCTGCATCGCTGTCCCAGTGTCTCCAGTATCGAGGCTCCCTTGGGGAAGGGCAGGTGAATTCAGTCTGTTCTGCCTCTGGCCCCTTTTGGCAGCAAAAGCAAGTGAAGGTGCTGTTTGTAAATAGGTTTATTGTAGTCTGGGTGCTGGAGATACTGACATCCCAAAACTCTCCTGGACACCAATCAAGGCCCTAGCTCCAAGGAGTGACCCGCATGCAAATCCCTCAGGCTCCTGAGCGCTGTTCCAGAGCTCAGCCTTCAGATCCCGCTGGGATCCCAGTGCAGCGTGTTTAGTTATTCCGGTCAAACCTCCCTGCTGCTCCTGGCTGTTTGTCCTTGCTGTGCTGAAACAAACCTGCTCGAGGGCTCCAGCTCCATTAGGAGGACAAAAGGACATCAGGCAGCGCTGCTGCCGAAGGGAGATGTGTCTGGGTTTGGAAGTGAGATGCAGAATGGGTGGCTTAGGAATTACTGTTGTGGCATTCTCTGTTCAAAAGGCATCTTCTGAATGAATTAATTTTTTTTTAGCTTCCCGAAAATGTAGCTGGTGACATTGACTTTGGGGTGAGGATACATGCTGATGCTGAGAGGATTAATACTGAATGTGAGACTCTGTGGATGGCAATAAACAACCAGTTCTCGGGGAAATTATTTTCTGAATCAGAATATTTAACACATGGAGGCTTGTGGGCTTTTTCCTGGTTTAAAGGGGCACTTTGAAGCGTACTAGAAAGTGTCTGTTACTACCAACACCTTAATTTATTATTAACTTGGAATATTTTTACATCTCATTTATTCCTTACACGGGGGTGTTCTGAGCTGTTGAAATTATTGGTCAGCTTTGCTTTCTCAGTGTTGCTTGTTGGGGTAATGCCACGGATGGATTTTGGATGGGAGCTCAAAACTTCAGCAAATAAAGGAGGGGGATTCAGTCGGGAGAGGTTTTAAAGCCCTTCTGTTCTCTTTGGCACAAAACAGATTTCTTAGTATTCCTCTGATGTTATGATTTAGACATATGATGTCTAAAGCTTAAAGTGTCCTTCATAAGGCTCTCTATCTTCCCTTAAAAATCTCTTGCTGAATACTTTTTTAATCTAAGTGCATTTTCTTTGGAAGAAGTCTTTAGCTGCAGAGGTTCTGACATGGCACATTGGCCCCAGTAGTGCCTGGTTTTGAGTGCTAGAAAGTGAGGGGAGATAAGTGAAGAATGGGGAGAGGCCCAACTGCGTAAATC